CCCTAGCCGCCTCAGCTTTCACCGCTTTGKGCCTTGTTTGATCGGCGTTCGGTGGCTCCTCTAGCACCGGCGCCGGTCCGCTTAGTCTCTTTTTAAGCTTTTGTCTGTTTATAGGGCTTTCCTTTGGTTGATTCGTCGAGTTTTGATGGGTTCGGTCGGAAGAAGTCATATCTAGCCGTCGAGGGTATGACCGGAGGTTGTCAGAGCTACTGTCGAAGGTAGGAGCTTGCCGTTGAGAAGCGTCGGATCCTCGTGGGCTCTGTATGGTCTCGTGTTCAGATTCCAGATCCTTGTTTCGACCAGTTCAGGTGACCATGGTGTATGATTCACTATCTTCTATAGAGGTACAGCTTGGAGGCCTTCTTTATGCTATAGATTTGCGATTTCCTGGGCTGCTTCTCGTTGTGTTGGTGTGTGATGTCCTCTTAGTTATCTTGTCTCGGTTCTGCCTTTCGTTGGGGTTAGGTTTTGTTGTCAAGAGGCTTTGATTATGAGTTGGGTCTTTCCTTTAAGTTAGATTTTGGTTCATGATATCAGCCTATTGATGTTTGGTTTGTGTAGTTTTGGTTTGTTGTTGGATGTCTAGTTTGCGTAGGTTTCCGCTAATTGGTTGTTTAGGTTGATCTCGCTAATTTTTGGTTTGTGTGTGTCTTTGCTTGTCGTGGTTGGGTATTCTTCCTTTAGCCTCCATTTCTATCGTTGAATCTATAAACACAAGCTCTTTCCACCGCCTTTTAATTTAGCTAATAATCAGTTTTCGCTTGTCTTCTTTGATATGTTCTTGTAAGGCTAATCTCGTGTGGGGATGCAAAATCTGAGATTTAGACTTTTTAGGGCGAAAATTAGGTTGGTAGGAGATTAGATTCTCGATTGTGTTTCTTTGTTCTGGTTATTCTTCCTAATTGGTTCTATGTTTCGCGGATTTCCTTAGCCTCGAGGGCAACTGTGAGCCTTGCTTGTCCGCGTTTGCTGCTCATTTCACGCTTTCCGATTGTTTTGCGAGTCTCTCCCTTTTTTCCTTTTTGTGGTATCTTGTTTTCTAGATTTCTGTTGTTCATCTTTATACTCCGGGGACGGTCCGTCGGGTTAGTTTTCGTTTATAACTTCCCTTTGGCGGGATTATTTTCGTCTTCCTTTCGTATTGCATAAAATTTCAGATGACAAAAAAAAAAAAAAATTTTGTACTCGT